CTCTCTGTAATTTGTCAAAGATTAACTTATTAATAAGATGTTTAGAGTGTTAGAGAGGTTATGTTCGAACCTCTTACTCTCTAACACTCATTGCCGCCAGCTCTCTCTTCTCTTCTTCTCTTGTTTGTTCATTTTCTGGTTTGCATCTAATCTCAAACAGTTCCATACATCAAGTGGGCTGTTTTTCAACTAAGTCCAACTTATCTCTTACTGCTGCCGGCTTCAAGAAGAGATGAAAAACTTGCCCAGAAAATTCTGATCGCCACCTTCAATCTTGATCAAAAACTAATCTTGATCCCTTTATCCTTCTCTGATTCTTCGTAATTACCAAGAACACTCTCCAATCTTTGGACAGATGCTAAAGACTTCTGGTAACCTCCAAGAATCAGCCAAAAGGAATGATCTTTCTAAACTACCAGCCCTAGGCAATTCTCATGTGGTCGGCTGGATTAGACTCACATGAGAAACCCTAGTTCGTGCTCTAACAACAAGTAGTCAAACAGGACTACAATTTGTTTTAAGTTTTAATGAGAAAACAAATAAAGATTGGGGAGAAGAAGAAGAGAAGAGAAGAAGAGGAGAGGAGAAGAAGAACTCGAAGAGATAATTCAGAAAAGAGAGAGAGAGAGTGACTAGCAATAGCCGCCCCACTCTTATAATTTATATTCATATTCGAATAACTGTAAAAGGGCTGAATTACCCTTATTGCTTACATGGCAAAATAATAAAAGAAAAAACTAATAAGTCGGAAATAAACTACCAACTAACAAACTGAAATAACTAACATAACTATCTACTACTGTTATACGAACACAGTGGGGTCCACATCAGTGTTCTCTACAGAGTCGAAAGACAAATGGTTGAGACTATGACGCCAAACATAAATATCATCATTATCACATTCACTCATTGGCTAATTGAGAAACCCAATATATTTTGGTGCCTCTAGACTATCTCCACTCTCCAACATGTATAAACTGTCAACCATGCATTCTCTACCAATCATTCTCCTGGAGGTCAAATTTTGAAAAACACATGAATGAGGATAAAGGTTGCAAAACAATTCAAAGAATTTGAAATACTGCTAAGAGACAAGAGGTTATTAGGTAACTTAGGGACTTGAAAAGATTAACAGCCATAGGAAGAGAGACAGATCCTTGACTAGTTATTAGTGAAAAAGGAGCCATTAGCTAGTCTCTCCTTGGCTTTATTAGATACCATACTATATGAGGAAAACATGTTGGGATTAGTCATATGGTTTGAGGCCCTCGAGTCAATAACTCAGCGAGACTCATTCAGAACATATGAGACATGAAAAGCAGCCTTGTTACCTGATGTACTAGCAAATGAGGTGGATGGAGTAATTGAGGTCAACTCTATCTGGCACAACACCTACCATATATAGTTCAAGATGATCCCTCAGTAGATAGAGGATCCTCCCTGGATACAGAACTAATTGGGTGTTCATGGAAAGGTACTGTAGAAAAATTTACTGTCTAATACCCCTGACAAACAACATGGAACAAATTATGCTTATTGAATTCTTGTTTCTTCTAAAAGTTCTTTGGCTTCTCAACCAAAATCAAATATGTCTCCTTAGTATGTATGGCTCTCTAGAAATGGGTACACGATGGTTTATCATTGTGTATCCCATCAGTTTTCTTACACCCATCCACCTTCTTAACTCCACTATTTCCTTTGGCTGTAATGACAATCCAATCCCCCTGAACAGGATTTATGGCTAACTTCCTACTCTCTTTGGACTGTATGAGAGAATACACTTTTATGTTGGTCAGTTCCTCTGCTAGGGGGTGCTATACAGTTCTGCCCTGAAAGCAGGACTTACATAAGCTTAAGCTTTAAAGGGATTAGGCTAGCGAGGCCAATATGCCTCGATACATAAGTATCAAATTTCAGGGTCAACTACTAACTTTTTTTCTGCATATACCTTGTTTTTATTGGATGAGTTTTGTTCACATGTGGTTGGAAGCATTTAAGAACGACAAAACTTTATGAACAATTTTAACATCAATCACGATCAGGATTTTAAGAATTTAATGTTTTCTCTTCTTTTCTTCCTGCTCTTCGTTTTTTTTACCCTATAAATGCTTATGATGCTGGACTTTTGCTGATCCACAAAGTTTTTCTAGGCGTTATGTGGCTTACAACTTGACACCTATTGCTGGAGTTGCAGCACACATATCTCGAAATGGCCAACCTGTTAATGCCTATTTGTCAAGTTGCATTTTATGTCCTCTTCCTCTATCTGGATCTTTAAGCGTACCTGTCACCACTCTTGGATGTTTCCTTGTCCGTCACAATCAGGGCCGCTACCTATTCAAGTACCAAGATGGCATGTCTTCAGCAGAGGCACCTACTGACATTGGGAATCAGTTAATAGAAGCTTGGAACAGAGAGTTGATGTGTTGTGTTTGTGATTCATATGTAGAAATGGTGTTAGAAATCCAAAAGCTAAGAAGAGATCCCTCAGTTTCATCTATACAGTCACCATCAGTACATGCAGTTAGCCAGGTTCTCCGGTCTTATGGGGAACGCATTTACTTGTTATGGCCAAGGTCTAAGCAGCATTCAACACATGATGAACCAAATGATGGTAGTAGTACAAGTTTATCACCATTGTTTAAGGCAGATTGGAATTGCTTCGTTGATCAAGTGATAAGGCCATTCTATGTCCGCCTTGTTGGTCTTCCTGTCTGGCAGCTATACTCTGGAAATATGGTAAAGGCAGAAGAAGGTATGTTTCTTGCTCAACCTGGGAATGGGTTGGGTGATCGCTTGCCGCCAGCTAATGTTTGTGGCTTCATCAAGGAACATTATCCAGTGTTTGCAGTACCTTGGGAACTGGTAACTGAAATTCAAGTTGTGGGAGCTACAGTTCGAGAAATCAGACCCAAGATGGTTCGGGATCTCCTTAGGGCTTCCTCAGCATCAATTGTGCTTCGATCAGTTGAGACATATATAGATGTTCTTGAGTACTGTTTATTTGATATTCAACTTCAGGAGCTATCTGACTCATTTACAGCTGATTCATCATCAGAGAGCATTAGCTTGCTTCCTAGTAACAGGGAGGGTATACATGAGTCTAGCTCAGCTGGTTTTGTATTAAAACCAAATGTTCAAGGACCTTATAATTTGTTCTCACAGAGTACAGGCAATCCAGGAGGGGAAAAAATGGATAGGGTGTCAAGCTTTGGGAAGGCCTTATTTGATTTTGGTCGTGGTGTTGTTGAAGACTTTAGTAGGGCTGGGCCATTAGTTCAGAAGAACATCATTGAAGGGAATAATTGTACTGGTGTGAATGCTGATGGAAAGTATAGAGCTATAACTGCTGAGCTTAGAGGCTTACCATGCCCAACTGCAACCAGGCATCTGGTAAGATTGGGGGCTACAGATCTTTGGGTTGGGAGCAAGGAACAGCAAACATTAATGCTTCCACTAGCAGCAAAATTTATTCACCCAAAATGCTTAGGAAGATCAATCATGGCTGAGATTTTCTCTGACCGAAACATCCAAAGATTATTGAAATTGCAGGGTTTTTCCCTGTACTTATTGGCAAGTAACATGAGGTTACTTTTTAGTGAGCAATGGGTAAGTCATGTAATTGATACAAATAAGGCTCCATGGTTTTCATGGGAGAGTGGTATGGGCTCAAGTGGTGATGGGGGGCCTTCTCCAGAATGGATAAAGCTTTTCTGGAAATGTTTCTGTAGCTCATCTGGAGACCTCTCACTGTTCTCTGATTGGCCACTTATTCCTGCATTTTTAGGTAGGCCAGTATTATGCCGTGCTAAAGAGCATGACTTAGTATTTATCCCACCTCCCCTTACAAGTCAAGCTACTGAAAATGGTGACAGAGAACTGAATACAGATGATCATGACCCAACAGAATTTTCCAAAACTGAATCTGTCCAACCCTTTGTTTTAGCTTTTCAAGTAATAAAAACAAGGTATCCTTCATTGTTGTCACTGTTGAACCAGTGCAATATACCTGTATATGATACAGTTTTCCTTGAGTGTGCTGCTTCAAGTAATTGTTTACCTCTGCCTAGTCAATCCATAGGGCAAGTTATTGCTTCCAAGCTCTTTGCAGCTAAACGTGCTGGCTATTTTTCCAAACCGGCTTCTCTCATACCGGCAGATCGTGATATGCTTTTTAACATTTTTGCTTCAGATTTCACTTGCTCAATTGGCTCCGCATACAAAAGGGAAGAGCTGGATGTGTTACGGGATCTTCCCATTTATAAAACAGTCATGGGGACATATACTCAATTGCACAGTTCTGATCAGTGCATTATCTCTCCAAATTCGTTTTTCCAGCCACAGGATGAACGTTGCCTTTCTTATTCCACACATTCTGGTGGAAATATGTTTCTCCGAGCCCTTGAGATCCCAGAGTTGCATGATCAAGAGATAATGCTGAAGTTTGCATTGCCTGGTTTTGAAGGAAAAACTCAGTCTGAGAAGGAGGATATCTTGATATATCTGTATATGAACTGGCAAGATCTCCAACTAAATCCAAATATAGTTGGCACCTTGAAGGAGACCAAGTTTGTTAGAAATGCTGATGAGAACTCTGTAGAATTATTTAAACCAAATGAGCTTTTTGATCCTGGAGATTCTCTATTGACTTTGGTATTCTCTGGAGAGAGAGTGAAGAAATTTCCTGGTGAGAGGTTTACTACTGATGGCTGGCTTCGCATTTTAAAGAAAACAGGCCTTCGAACAGCAACAGAATCTGAAATAATACTTGAATGTGCTAGAAAAGTAGAGTTTCTTGGAAAAGAATGCATGAAATCTGTAAGGGATCCTAATGATCTTGAGGCAGACATAATGGATGTTGAAAATGAAATTTCTTCTGAAATATGGTCATTAGCTGGAGCTGTCATAGAAACCATATTTTCAAATTTTGCTGTCCTGTATGGTAATAACTTCTGCAATACATTGAGCAATATTGCATTTATACCTGCCGAGAAAGGCTTTCCAAATATTGGTGGCAAGAAAGGTGGGAAGAGGGTATTGTGTTCTTATAGCGAAGCTATTCTGTTGAAGGATTGGCCTCTGGCATGGAGTTGTGCTCCTATTCTTTCCAGACAGAATGTCATTCCACCTGATTACTCTTGGGGAGCACTTCACCTAAGGAGTCCCCCAGCTTTTTCTACAGTCTTGAGGCATTTACAGGTAGTGGTTATAAATCCTTTTCCGTATTACTGGAGCTATTTTTTGCAGTTTAGCATCTGAGTTACTGAAGGGAACCTGCAGGTTGTTGGAAAAAATGGTGGTGAAGACACTCTTTCTCACTGGCCAACATCATCAGGCATAATGACCATAGAGGCAGCTTGTTGTGAAGTTCTTAAGTATCTCAATAAGATTTGGGGTTCCCTCTCTACTTCAGGTCAGCCTCTTGTTTTTCCTGTTAGAGCATCAGATTGTCTCATTTTTTTTTCATGGGTTGCAGAGTTCACATCATGCAGTTTCCTTAAATCTTCATAGTTTCTAAATTCTATACAGGTTTCTCATTATCTGGCTGCATTTGGGTTAGAATGGAAACTGAAAGATGGGATGCAAAACGATTCATATATCTGCTTTTCTTTCTTGATTTCTCCATTCATCTCCAAAACATAATGCCATATATAATTTGGAAAACAGCAGGTTTTTTTTGCTCGGGGGTAGTCATTCTAGAACCAACTGAATTTTTACATCTGTCCCTGTTTCCACATTTGCACCTCAAGTCTAAATGCAGCCTAAATATCTATTAAATAAACAGTTGGGTTGCTCCATTGTGAACTGGGTGACCAGGGTTCAAATCTTGGAAACAGCCTCCCTGTATGTTCAGGGGTAAGGCTGCATGCATCTGTCCCTCCCCTGACACCGCATTGGCGGGAGCCTTGTGCACTGGAATGCCCATATAATATTCCCTGAACATCAAAAGTTACTTTGGAGACATCACAGATGTTTTTAACTTGGGAAATACCAGAAGTAGTTGTATTCTTTATGTTATAAATATGTATTTTGACTGAAATAACAAGTGTAACATTATTCCACCTTCAAACCATGAGTTTCTTGAATGGAAAAAATGAAACTTTTTATTTTTTGTATTGTTGAGAAATTGTCATGAATCAACTATTCCTCTTTAGTTCTTTAATATCCAAATTGTCATGATCTCTTAGAGGGGATTGTGTCTCAAGAGTATGAATCCATGTATTTTCTTTCAATTTGTGAAAGTTTATAATATTTCCTTATGTGAGCCAAAAACTGCAGATTATGAGGTAAAATATAAGTAGGCTAAACTATTTTTTCTTGAATAAACAAGTTTTTTCCCTTGATTTGTTTGCAAGAGAGGGGAGGGGATTACAATTAGTATGAGAACTTATATGAGGATTACATTTTGGGTCCATTGATTCCCAAGAAAATTTGTCTGGGATGGGATGAGAAACAGAAAAATTATTTTCTCACTGGAGTATCCTGTGTTTGGTTTGTTGCACCAAATATGTGGGAAAATCAAGCTTTCAACATTTGTTTACTGAGAAAATTTGAATGATGAGTATAGTGTTGGTTCATCTACATCATCATGTAATGTTTAACCTGTTAAGAATCGGACACAGCATGTATCACCAATGCCATGTGTCTGTAATAGCTATTACAGACACATGTCATGTCTCACCACTTGCCATGTATCTGTAATAGCTATTTATCAACATCCTACAAGGCTACAATTTTGAATCCTTGCCAATCAAAAAAAAAAAAACATATAAATATTGGTACTGAAAAGATTACATTCTGATTGGAATTCATAAAACTGAACATTCCTAATACATAACAACCAAACCATCAAAAAGTTTGTCTTTCATCGAGTAGCCATCATAATCCAAATTGTACCAAGTTCATTTTAGTAAGTAATACAAAAACATAACTATCAAGCTGACTGTAAGAATGGTAATAAGCACAAATAGGTGTTGTATTTGTGTCAACCCATTGTTACGTTTGCATTTGTGTCGACCTTCTTAACTGAAGAAGGGATTTCATCCTTAATACATGTTGGCTGTCGGGGTCTTGGGGAGTTGGTTTAACAGAGTGTGTGGTGGTATTTGTTAAATTGGTACAATGCCTCTTCACGGGTGTTGTAAGAGCAATAAATAGCTCCACTTAAGCTAGGCACCTAGGCATTACACTCTGCCCATGTGAAATAAATCCCCGGTTGTCAGCTTCTAAAGACAACATAGTATTTACCCATATGAACCTGTGAACATCTAAGTAGTTTATGACAAAATAACTAATTAAAACATGTCCATCCATAGTGTTAGTAAATCTACTAACAAACAGGTGGTTAAAAGGAAATTTAGGAACATAAAGCATAGAAGGTAATTTAGGTCAAAAATCAAAAGAGACATCACCTGCACCAAAGATGGGAGAGATAGTACCTCAGTTAAAATAACAGTTTGGGAAGTGGAGGAAGGAGATAGAGGAACAAAATAATTTGGAGGCCTACTCATATGTTTGAGGCTCTAGAATCTATAACCAAGATCTAGAAGTAGATGCAAGACAAGTTATTACCTAATTTTGCAAGGGCAGCAATGTTAAAGGAAGAGGAAGAAGATAGACGAAGTTTTTCATACTCCTCATGGATAATGGAAATCATCTCCTTCCCAAAAGTTAAGGCAGAGGAGTCATTACAAGCTGTAATGTTGTATCAGTCTTCTCCAACTCAAGCATGATTGGCCCATGTAGATGGTGGTCCATGTAAATCATAAAAGTTCACAGTTTGTCCTTCATGTCCACAATGGGTTCACTCACACACTACACCATGTCCTCCAATGTCTCGTCCTCTCACAGCACCTGTATCCCTATCATCTCCATGTCCACCTCTTATGCCATGGCCATCTATAAAAGACTCTTCTTGCTCTATAAAAGACTTTTGACAAAGTAGGAATCTCACTGCTACTCAAGGTTGACGAACCAGTTCATACTTCATACTCTAATCTTATTCTTGAAAGAATCTGGGCTATATCTAATTTATCCCTTTGTTGCTGCTATACCTTCACATCATTAGACAATGGCTGATAGGAATTTAACTCATTATGCAAACTTTTGATACTAGTATAATACTCTTCCATAGTTTTTTCACCCTATTGCAACTGAAAATATTCTTGATAGAGTGGATAAATTCTTGTAACATTACCCTATCCAAACTAAAGCTACTTAGCATGGTCCCAAATTTCCTTTGTAGTGTCTACAAACATCAAATTCACACTAATATGGGGTTCTATGCTGTTCCAAAGATAATTTGTGCATTTTCTTGCACCTGATCACTATTATCCAGCAGAACCCATTTGGTTTTGTTTCGAATGCTGCTACAGTAACCCGAACCAGGAAGACAAGAAAGAAGAGAAGAAGAAGAAAGAAAAGAAGGGTCTGTCGAAATCTGATGGTTATTCCATTCAGTTGACCCCCTTAATAGTCATTTAGATTCTAATGACATTTACAAAGACTAAACTGCTCTTACTTAAGTGTGGGGCAGAGTGTCTCTAATAAAACTGCCACATAAGCAAATCACTTGACAAACATAAGATGACTAAACTACCCCTATTCGGCTCACTTTAACACTCCCCCTCAAGCTGGAGAATATATGTCATATAATCCCAGCTTGTTACATAGATAGTTCACT